TTTTTTTTTTTTGGCCAGGCAGTGCAAATGCTTGGTAAAAATACACCCAAGTGCCATTATGAGGAGTCCCGCTCTCTGTTGGATTTTTTTGATTTATATATTATGCAGAATGTAAGATGAGGAACTTGGACAAAAAGGTGAGCCGGGACAATTTCCAAGTGGACAGGAAAAGAGTTGGGATTATGGCCAGGAGATCGCAGTGTTGAAGCATCCAAGACCGATGGGGCTGACTTAGCCCACTAGGCTCTATCTATAATTAAAATATATCAGTTCTTGGTGGAGTGACCCTTTAAGGAACTCTAACATATTTTTGGTTCCTTTTTGTGGGTTTGTAATGTAATGTTAGTTCTGAGAGGGAGGGGGTGTAAGACAAATTAGATAATTTACTTTCTAGTTTATAAATAAAGCCTGGTCTTTGGGAAACATACAGTTTAATTGAGTGTCTTGGCAGTACTCGTATTCATTCCATGATCTCACTGTAATCTCTTGTGTAACACGGGTACTTAGTCCATTACTGGGGCCTTTTAGTTTCTCATCTTCACCATGACCTCACCGAACATCTGCTGGTGTGGACAAGGGCTTGTGTGTGCTTCTCTTTGGCAGAAGTGGCCCTGTGCCCTTCCCTGCTCTATTGCGTTCTGCGGCAGCCGCTGCTTCTTAAAGGGACGTTCCAGATCTGTCGACAAATTCAAATCCCCTACAGATGGTCAGCTTTCAGCAGGTGTAATGACTGAGTCTCTGCTTAAAGAGACACTAGACAAATAGCCGGGTGATGTCAGAAAAAGGCCAAGCGATCCATCAAATCTGACCCTTTAAATGACACCGTTGCCCCTCCTAGTCATGGCACAGTGACCGAGTCTACTGATACCACAATGGGGCTCCTGAGTATGGTGGAGCATGTGACCTCCCCCGTGTGACAATAATTGAGCCTGAGCTGCCAATCGCCAGGGGGTGGTGAACAATGATGTCATCCACCTGGGTGAATATATAGATAGGTGAGTATACATGGCTAGGTGTGGGGGATGAGGGGGTTTATCAAGAGACCCTGAATGGGCAAGTGATAGTGTCTCTTTAATGGCTGTTGATATTTGATATTGGCCACATTGGGTGAGCATTGTTTTCAGTAAGTCAGCTGACTCCCAAGACTTGCATTGTGAGAAGGAGCAGTAAAGCAAAACCATTGTGTTGCATGTGATGGCAATCAAGTTAAAGGAGAACTATGGGGTCAGGGCTTTTCCCCATAGTTCTCTTAAGGGTAATGGGAGGACACAAACTAGCGTGCTCCCGTGACCCAAAGCTCAGTATACCGCGAGCTACAGCTCGCGGTATACTGAGACGCCGCAGCCGGGACGGATCCCGACAATACTGTCTGGATCCACCCAGTGGCGGGATTGACAGCTGGCTCTGCCTATCCAGAGGCAGAGCCAGCTGTGCCCGCCCCCTCCCCCGTCCGTTTCGCCAGTCAGCGCTGGAGGATCAGACAGGGGAGGGGGGGAATCCCTGCAGGGAGCCGTGAGTGACAGTCACGGCTCTCTGCAAGGATAGATCGAGAAGTGAGCGAGGGACGGTATGTGTTCACTCCCCGATCTACTGAGCCGACCTGTGACTGTTTCATTGTCACAGGTCGGCTCAGATTATGAGGCTGAGTGAAAAGTGTAAAAAAATAAAACGCATTAAAGAAAAATAAAAAACACCCCAAAAAGTTGTAAGTCCCCCGCCCCCACGTGCACGCACTTATAAACATAAATATGCATCGGGTGCGCCTATGTGCGTAAACAACCATTACGCCACACATGTTACATATCGCTGCGAACGTCGCAGTGAGGGCAATAATTCTAGAGCCATCAATCGCATATAACACTAAATTGATGAGCAGTAAAAGCTTTTAAAGCGTCACCTTTTTTCTTTTTAAAGCTTGACATGTTGGTGTCTTTACCTCATGTGACCCTGTATTTTATATTTTACCAAAAAATTGGGTAAAGGTTAATGTTTTATACATTATATATGTAGGGAAAACTGTTATTTTTTTCAAAATTTTCACTTTTTTCTATCTGTCCCTAAAAAATGGAATAAAATTAATTTCAGTACAGCGTTGCATGATGGAATAAATGTCAGTCAAAGTATCGCAGCGCTGAATACTGAAAAATGCCCCGGACAGGATGGTGGTTTAACACCCCGGTCAGCAAGTGGTTAACCTAGTAGTAAACTAGCAGTAGATACATCCCCCCCCCCCCCCAAAAAAAAAAAGACTTTAATTCTACTTTAAGTGCTTGTTTCTGTCCAGGATTTAAAAAAATAAATAGTTATACTCACTGGAAGCTCTGAGCTGGCTTCTTCTTACACCGGTCCTTCCAACGTCTCTCCCCCTCCTCTGCAGCAGTTTAAGGTCCCGTAAATCATCAACATCTATACACAGATTCGAGTTAAGTCCTACCAGGAGAAGTGGGTTCAAGTCCCACTACTGAGGGTTCAAGTCCACTCAGAGTAACTTTCCTGTGGGTTAGAGGCCTTGCAGTGTAACATTCCTGAGGAACGCTAATGCACAGATGTGAGGATGCTGAGTAACATTCCAATGCTGCAGGGAGGAGGAGACGGGCTGGAGGGAGCGCTGGGCCGGCTGGCCAGCTTGGAGTTTTGGGTGAGTATAACTTTATTATTTTGCACCTAGACACAAATGAACCCTTGCAGTGCAAGAGTTAAAGGGGTTCTAAACCCTCCGTTTTTTTTTGGCTTATATCTACTGCTTGCATGCAGTAGATATAGGCAAGAAGTGTAAAAAAAAACCCAAAAACCGCTTAAAATCATTTTAAACTTGCCTCGTTATCGCTGCTCGCTCCCGCGCCCAGAATCAGGAACTGCTCGTACGGCCGCAAAGGATCTTGGGGCGGGCGCATGCGCAGTTCCGATTCTCGGCCGGGAGACGAGCAGAGACGCAAGGTAAGTCTATGGACGCGTGCACCCGCATGCAGACACCGCTGGATCAGAGAGACAGAGCAGTCAGCGCTGGATCGGAGTGACGTCACACCGCTGGAGGGACAGATGAAAACATGGGGAAAGAAGAGGAAGATCGGAAAAAGACATCATTTAAGGTAAGTGCAAACATTTACATAGGGGGAGGGAAACATTTTTTTGCCTTTTTAATATCACTTTAAGTTTAACCCACTGCAAGGGTTAATAAAATGTTTTTGGGAGTTCTTGTAAGTTCCCTTTTTAGCTACACAATGCCACATCTGTTAGGACTACTGCTGCTGCCTGTACCCCATGCAGCGAGTCCCATTCACAGCTACATGTTAGAACACCTACAATCCCGTCTAGAGAAAGTTTGGAGTGTTTGTCGGTTCATGATGAAGAAATCACCTGTGTAGCAGACCTGGAAATCCTGATTGCCTGGGGGGGGAGGGCGCGGGGGGACGAATATTCATATAGGAGGTATTTTTCAAAACATAAGACCGCGCCACTGACACGGAGTCATTTAATAAGCACATACTTTCACATTAAGATGTCAATAGAGCTACACAAACAGAGGAGGTCACTTGCCTGGTCTTGTATGCTGCGCCGAGTGTATGTCTGTCTGATAACATGACTCAGCCCCACAAAGCCATTGTTTGCACACCGTTGGAAAATTCCTTCTGCCGCTAAGGTATTTGCTGTTCAGGGTTACTTTGTCTTCTCTTATTTTGTTTTCAGAAAGCCTTTTGTGACCTTTTACAACAAGCACCACCTTTTTATTGTAGCTTCATGTACAGTATGTAAAACCCGAGATCTCTTTTTGTGCGTTTGCCACCACTTCTTCCAGTATACATAATTTTTGGTGACATTGTTTCTTACCCTGAGATCCTTCCTGTTGCAGGCTGACAATGCTGAGCCACTGCCCCACAGTTAGCAGCCTCTGATAGCCTTGATAGGCTGAAAAGGCATTCACGGCTGGCTGACAACACTACTGCTAAATGTGAAGCAGTGGCTTAGCGTTGTCACCATGCAGCAGGAAGCGCTGTTACTCAGGATCTCCAGGTAAGAAACTTTGCAACAGATATGCAAAAAGTGATTTGCTTAAGACAGCTATATACAGTGAAAGCATGCTGAAAAATGGGTTTTGGGTTTACGTGCACTTTAAAGAAGAACTTAAGGCAAATAAAATCTTGACCGTTGCAGTGGGACTACCCCGGCACTGCAAGGGCTAAGTGCTCATTTTGCCTACGGAGCTAAAATAACAGATGTACTCACTGAAGCACAATCCTGGCTGACTCCTAGACCGGTCCCTTCAGCCTGTCTCCTCCTCCGCTCCAGTGATGGATTGTTACGTGGCATCTTCACGTCCTATACACTGCATAGCATTTGATGACTCACAGGACCTTAGACCGCAGGAGTAGAGAGGGAGCAAGGCTGATGGGACCGGTATAGGAGCCGGCCAGGATCCTGGTATGGGTGAGTATGTCTCTGTTATTTTAGCAAAACGAGCACATTGCAGTTTGCGGGTAGCTCCACTGCAAGGGTTAAGATTTTATTTACCCCGAGTTCTTCTTTAACTTGCTAATTTGATATTAGTAGTCATTGTCTGCGTTTGTTTTTTTGTTCATGTACTGCGCTGGCTCTTGAGGTATACTTTGAGACCAGATTAATTTTTCACATATATTTCACAGATGACCTCCGAGCCTCAGGTACTTGTAACAGATGACCCCCACCCCATGGCTCATGTACCTGTCATAGATGACCCCTCGCCCCGACCTTGTCAGAAATCGTCTCCCTACCCCCTGGTCCGGCGCAATTCGCAGTTAAATAATGCACCGCCAGCGTGATCGGCAGCGGTGGGCGATTCCATGACCGCGCGGCCATCTGCGCAGTTTTCTGCATGATTGCCGCGTGGTCACGGATCGCCATAGTGTGAACCAAACTCTTTTTTGCTTTTGGTCATCATTAGTAAATGACTTATGATTAGTAAATGTTCGCTAAATATAGTACTCGGCACCATCATTCATAGCTTTATGTTTGTGTCTTTGCAGTTTGTCGGGAATTTGCAGTTTTGGAAGACGGGGCCTTGGCACACTGCTTACAGGAACAGGAAAGTAAGTTAAGCCATTGCACTAAAAACAATGCACGCGGTGCTCTTCACACCACTCCTTTTATGGGTATCAACATTTCAAATAGTTTTAAGGGACCCCTGAGTATGATACAGTAGCCCCATTTAAATTTGTTTGGCGAGACTGGTAAATCTCTCATGTCTGTGGATTAGGTAGATGTCTGTCCCTCAGGGGTTACAAATCTTCTCTGATAACCCACCATTGTCGGTATCTGTCTGAACACCGATTGTCTGCTGTGACCTGTACCCTGTTTGCCCGAAAATAAGACCTAGCACTATTTTTTCAAGATTCCTGTAATATAAGACCTACCCCGACAATAAGACCTAGTTTGGTGGTAGCATGTGAGAGGGAACTTGAAGAGCAGGAGAGATGGTATCAGCCCGCGGGGACATACTGCATGAAGGGGATGACTGGGACTCCCTCCGGCCAGCGCAGGGACGGGGAGCACGCCAGTACCATACTTCACCAACTGCTGTCCCCCTGAAGGCACTGCTTAATGTAGTAGGTACTGTACTGTAATGTGTACCGGTAAATGGTACCGAACTTTACCGCGCTGTCCACTGTCTGGTGTCCCCACTGCTGCACCGCTGTCCCTGATGACAAAGGAAGCCGGCGCTGTAGAAAGCAAGGCTGCGGTGGCGGAGGGAGCAGAGCCGCATTAGCCGATACTTACTCTATAGCGCTGTGACAGGTGGAGTGACACCAGATAACTTTGGATTGTTGTACATTTTGTTGTGCATTAAAAAAAAAAAGACATCCCCTTAAAATAAGATCTACTGTGCTTTTTGGGGGCAAAAAAATATAAGACAGTGTCTTATTTTCGGGGAAACACGGTAGTAGTTGCTTTTCAATACAAACAGTGGTGTCACAACATTCTGATCTGTCCTTACAAGTATAATGGTTCTCATACAGGCCCCTTATATCTGTATGATTGTTATACAGATTTCCCAGCAGGTGGTGTTGAGGGTCAGAATTGTAAATGGGCGACTCCCCCACTTTAATACATAAATGGGTCACATTAAAAAAAAAGAAATCGATTTGCCCTTTCTTGAGGAAATCTACTCATTAGACCTGTGTCTATGTAAATGTATCTCAGCTTGTACATTGTATTCTATTTAGTCGAGCAGCATTATGCCTCCAACGTCCGGAAGAATAAGCTAGTCCAGAAGGACATTCGTATAGCGAAGAAACTCCAGGATGAAGAAGATCAACAGAGCAAAGTCTTGAGCCTGGAGCAACAGAAACAAATGTGAGTGTATGCTTCGTGTTGTCTGGGATCTGTTTTTGTCTGGGAAGGTGTTTAGGGGAGCAGAAATGTAGTGCAGAAACCCCCTAAAAATCCCTGTAGAGACTCTGGTGACATCAAAAGTAAAGTAAAGGGGGCTATTCTTGCAGACTTACCTAATTGACTTATATATATATATACAGGTGAAACTCGAATAATTAGAATATCGTGCAAAGTTCATTTATTTCACTAATGCAACTTAAAAGGTGAAACTAATATATGAGATAGACTCATTACATGCAAAGCAAGATAGTTCAAGCCGTGATTTGTCATCATTGTGATGATTATGGCTTACAGCTCATGAGAATCCCAAATCCACAATCTCAGAAAATGAGAATATTACATGCAATCAATAAAACAAGGATTGTACATAGAACAATATCGGACCTCTGAAAAGTATAAGCATGCATATGTACTCAGTACTTGGTTTGGGCCCCTTTTGCAGCAATTACTGCCATTACTTTTGCCCGATATTCTAATTATTCGAGTTTCACCTGTGTGTGTGTGTGTGTGTGTGTGTGTATATGTATGTATATATATATATATATTCGCCAAATACATGTATCTATATAGCCTTATCACAAGACCCGCAAGTGCCTCTTCCACTGGACCGTTTGTATTTAATTGCCTTGAGTTTACCCAGGCAGCTTTTACTCATTATCTGAGTGCGGTGCCCACTATTCTGTGTGTGTATATGTGTATCTCCAAAGCAGGTCTAGAGGCACTCATGGGTCTTCCAACGAAGATAAGTCAAAGCATCAGCATTTGACAATAATGCTTTGACTTATCTCCGCTGCAAGACCTGTGAGTGCCCTTTAGTCATACTTTGGATTTGTATGGAGTGCAGTGGCTAATCCGGAACTGTTTTTATATATAGACTAGGTTTGCGCAGGCTGTTGGTTACCACTTGGGTTGTGCCTGCCTTTGGCTGCTCTCAATGGGCCATAGCAGCCCCCCTACCCACCTTCATGGTTTTATTTAATGTACCCTTCAAGCAAAGAACCTGAAGTCTACTGCAGCGTTTGACTGGGTTGACATGTTCAGTCGAAAGCATCTATATAGGAACTCATCACTCTCAGCTGCTTTTTGTTGAGGAAAATATTCAAACCTCGGTGTACACGTTGAAGATCTCACTGTGTACACGTTGAGATCTCAGTCACTGCTGCTTTTGACTGCTAGCCTCATGGGATTTGGGGTGAGATTTGGTGATGTCACTAGTATGCTGCTTGCTGAAGCAGAAGCTGCACCTGAGAAACCGGCAATGCAAGCATCTCCTTTTTTTTCTGCTTCATCTATTCTGTGAATCTGGGCTTTATACAGCTCTCCTTTCATATTACCCCACCAGTCATCAGGGGGCAGGTAGAGAAAAGTCCTTCCTCTACCAAGATGGCCTCCTACACACGCAGACACAGCTTAGTACAAGGCATAGCAATTCATTAATGGGGAAAAGCTAGGCTGCAGGGAGCTTATAAGAAATACTGGTGGCTAGTCCTTTATCCTCTACTTTACCTCTACTACGTTTTTTGGCATAGTTTCTAGAGCTCAGGTTCCCTTTTAGAGATGAAGGTGTATTGCGTAATATGCTCTGTCATAGCTGGTTTTCTGATGATGTATTGTCGTACGTCCACAGTGAAGAATTAGACTCGGAGTACGCCCGAGCTGTACAGGAAGAGCTACAGAGGAAAGCACAGGAGTGCCTGCAAAGAGAGGAGGAAGACAAGGTAAGGTCACTGAAGTGGTATATCTACGTGTTTCTTATGTGAAGCATTAATGGTCAATGGTACATATTGCCTTTAAAGTGACGCTAAACTCAGGAGTTAAATCTTGAAAATACATTCAGGTACCTTAACTATTAACAAAAATATTATTTGTGTCTTACTCGGCTGTAGATCCTCAAATAATCTCTGAATTGGTGCTGACACTGTCCTTCCTTCTGCAGGGTGACTACTTTTGTTCCCCATGGTCCCTGTGTGTGTTTTGTAAAGTAGTCACCGCTCTAAGCTCGCTCTTGTGATGGATTACAATCTCAATACAATGGCTTGGTTTCAGCCAGTCAGGTGTGTTGCAGTTCAAGGGCCCATGCTACTTGGCACAGCGTGTGTCTCTGCTCCACCATCTGCAACATCACGTTTCTTCACAGCACATGCAGGAAAACAGTATAATGATAGACAAGGAGAAAAGAAAACTTTGATTGTTTAATGGGAGATGGGTAATCTTAAACTAGACATGCCGAACAAGTAAAAATGGGGAACTGCCAAACCTAAGACTTGAACTTTTATATTTCACATTCAATGACGCCGTAAGATTACTTCCATATTCTTTCTTTTTTCAGTGAGAGTTGTTGCCACTTAAGATACAAGCAAGCCTTAGTGGAGTTGTTCTCTAACCCTTGAAATGTTATCCACACAGATTGGCCACCTGGGGGGTTTCCGCAGCCACTGGAATGGAACTTCCAAGGGATTGCATCGAGGTGCTGCAAAAATGTAGTTTGCTTACCCAGGAAGCTTTGCAGCCCCAAAAGTAAACTCATAACTCTCTCTCTCGACATCTTCTTGGTAACAGCCGGTAGTCTTCTCAAGCTTAGACAAATTCTGCTGTCATGGCGCCAGATCCCGGCTGCCTGCACAAACAGATCTGCCTTACACGTCGAGCCAACAAGGACGGGGGAGTACGTTTTTGTGGTAGATGGTGTCACTTCATATTCCACCTACACTAAACTGCATCTGAGCTGTTCTGGCGTTCTGAGCATTCATGGCCATTAAAAAAGGGGACTTTGGGATCATCTATCATCAGTGTGTAGATGCAGACCCCCTGGGGTGTAATTAAAAAAATGCATACCTGAAATCCAGCCATAAAATGTAGTCTTCCTGCCCTTCAGCATTCTTTTGAAAGATGCTGCCTGGGAGAAGGGACCACCCGTGATATGTGTACTGGTGTCAGGATTATATCTGTCAGCACTCTGAATAGGGGAATTGTAAAGGAATGATGTCATCAGGGGCTTCACCTCCAGAGAATGTCATTACGCTGCCTAGAAGTCCAAACGGTTGGGTAGTGGTGGCCTATCGGTAGGTAGACACTGTCACTCTGTCCTAATTTAGCATGCATACCTAAAATCTTTCTTTAAAGTGTATGTTAAGCCAAAACTTTTTATATTTTTTTCAAGTTTTGGATATAGTGGAGGAGGGTTAGAATAGACGGGGTTATATAGTTAAAGAACAGGGGGCAAAAACACAAGGGCCTATGATTTAAGCCGCTAATATCTCATATACACTGCCTGGCCTTAAAAAAAGTCACACACTCTAATATTTGCTTGGACCACCTTTAGCTTTGATTACAGCACACATTCATTGTAGCCTAGTTTCAGTAAGCTTATGCAATGTCACAAGATTTATTTCCCTCCGGAGTTGCATTCATTTTTTCACTGAGATCTAGTGATGATGGGAGGGTCTGAGCACTGCGTAAAGTCTTCTCCAGCACATCCCAAAGATTCTCAATGGAGTTAAGGTCTGGACTCTGTGGTGGCCAATCCATGTGTGACAATGATGTCTCATGCTCCCTGAACCACTCTTTCACAATCTGAGCCCGATGAATCCTGGCATTGTCATCTTTGAATATGCCCAATGTGCCATCGGGGAAGAAGAAACCCAATTGATGGAAAATCTGGTAATTCAGTATATTCGGGTAGACAGCTGACCTTATTTTTTTGGGCTGGACCTAGACCTTACTAACTGAAGCAACCCCTATAGCTATCACCTATTTACTTAGCTATAGCGCTTGTTGTTGGATACAGGAATAAGGTGAGTAGTATCAACAAAAAAAAGAACAAGTTTTATTTTATGTTCCCGGGGACATTTAAAAATATCCCCTTACGCCACTGATGGCCTGGGTTTGGACACTACCCACAAAAATGGGGTCCTCCCTAAGTCCACGAGTCACCTAGTTTGTGAATTCTGTTTTATTCAAGGAGCACCAAAACCACACTTAAGGAGTCCAGAACAGTACTTTGCTGATTCCACAGTTATCAGGAAGATGAAGATATAGTCAATGCTTTTCGGGGGCTCACCAATCTCCCATCAGTATTTCCAGCCAGATAAGGATAACGCCTACTATACAATTGTTTCCTGTTCCCATTCACATACCAATACATTTTAAAAAATGATAAAATTGAAGGTTACCTTTTTTTTGATGATATTTCTGCAAACTTCAAGACTGAAAAATCCCACTCGCTGTTTGGGGTGAGTTTTTTTTCCAAAAAATTAACCCTGTCTGTACTGTGCTGGCAGATTTAATTATCACTTGTAAACTAGATGAGCAGGAAGGACTGTCCTAACAAATGGTTAATGACCTGAAGACAATGCATGCTAATGAACTTTTACAAAACTGTCCCTCGGCCAGTCCCTTATGAGCTCACAGACATCTATTCTTACCACTAGAAGCTGCCTATAGAGTCCTGTGTGTAATCCTGCTTCAAAGAAACCGCTAAAAAAGGAAGAAATCTTTTAAAAATAATTTTTAGGCATGCTGTGTAAATGGGAACACAAAACAAACATATAGAGGGGGTTTCTCAAATTTGGCTGCAAATGTGGAAATATCCTTTAAGCAATTCCTTGCACACACTAAAAAGGACAGGTAGTTACTGGGTGTCATTCATAGACAACGTTGCCGCCAGACTTCCCCTCCGGGGACTGCTTTGGCTACGCTAGCAGGCCCTGGATAGGCGAGACAATGAGTCTGCAGGATATCCTTATACTTTCAAGCACTATTGTTAGTCTCAGTCCCATTTCCTAATGATTAAGGATCTTTATACCAGTGGATGAAGTTTTATACTCTGCGTGCACTATTGAGTTGCAGTAAAAGCGTTGTGTTCCCAGGTGTCACATATGCTCATTTAGTCTGAGTTAAACATACAGTTTTAACTGTTCAGTTTTCTTCAAACCGGCAACCTTGCTTGAAGTGGGCATGTCTTCCCTGGAGGCTGATGAGCAAAAGTGGGCAGTACTTAGATTGTATCGCACAGGAAGGAGACTATGGGGTGGGTGTAGTTTACTAGTGCTGGGCGGGGCAGTGACACTAATTCTGCAAATCTTCAGGCTTTGATTAGTCTTGCTCTTCTTATACCATGCAGCTGCACACATCAGGAGTAGGAGAATCACAGGACAACGCGCATTAATTTCTTAATGTTTTGGAAAGCAAATAGGCTTTATGTTTACCAGTTTTGCTTTCCAGTAGGAGTATGTTTACCAGTTTTGCTGGCGCTGCCCTTTTAAAGTTGCTTTGGCATCAGATTTAATGCCTTGGATTTATCATGGTTTGTTTGCACGGATAACCTCACCCCATTCTTTCTGTGTGCTCGCTCTTCCGAGCCGCACATTTTGAAATGCTTTCCTAATTTAGCGCTAACTCTTTTCTCTGAGGATGGATGGGTCCTGTCAGTGTGTGGGCGTCAGTTTATGGAACAGGTCAAGCAGCTGGGAGAGTCTGAGTCACTCTGCAGTTCTTGAAATGCCACCCTAATGTGGAATCTGCGTGTTTACCTGCAAATGTTCACAGCGCATGGGCGAGCGGCTGGTATTCTGCTTACCGCCAACATAGACGCCAGAGACCTGTCAAGTCTGTTAAGGCTCTCATTTAGAGCGGTCGCCAGCAGGTACCGATGGGTGCCATTGACTTGTGAAAAGGTCGCGATAAAGGGAGTTGGTGAACACCGGAGACTTGCAGTATCCAAACTTGGACTTTTGGAAAAATAAGCAAGGGGGCATGCCGACCCCACATCCGACAATGCAGTACAAGGCATCGCATAGGAACTTTAAAGACCCCATGTTGCTGAGAGGTAGGGAGGTCAAGCTTCCAAAATACTGTCATGATATGGCACCTTATGATGCCTTCTATCCCACAGGAGAATCAGCAGCAAATGCAGTCGAAATGCATGCAGTATAGTTGGCACTAGGGATGTCCCGATACAGGGCATTTTGACAAGTACTTGTACTTGTCAAAATGCCCCGATGCATAGCGCCGAAGCTTGTGCACATTAACATGCATTTTCAGATGCACTTCAATGCCATTCCAAACGTCCCCATGCAGTTGTCTTGGATGGGGAAACAGTGGCTCGGAGCACTCAAATTTCACTTGTATTGTAAATAAGCCCTGGCTTAAGGTGTAAAGGTTTAGGGACTGATTTATCAATCTTCCACCCAGCATATAGCTGGAGAATGTGCTAGGATCCAGAGCGCCTCCAGGTGGCACTGGAGCTAAGCCCTGCAGTTCCTGTGCTCACCTGCAGGTGTCTCCGGGTAGCCAGGAACTGTTAGGTGCCAGACCACCACCGGTGGCGCTGGAACCTGCAGCTCCAGTGCTCACCTGCTGGTGTCTCCCAGTCTCTCAGCACTGAGCCATCACCTGGTGCTTCCTGGGAGGGTATTTAAACCCTCCCTACAGTCAGGACGATGGCTCAGTATTGTTTCCTGTGAATCCTAAGTCCCCAGTTCTGTCGCCATTTCCGGTGAAACCTGCTTTCCGTCCTGAGTCCTGTTACCAGTCCTGAACCCTGAATCTTGTTTGCATTTCTGAACCCTGTTTGTGTCCCGAGCCCGGTTACCCATTTGCAGTCCTAGATACCTCCTGTTGCCATTACCTGCTTGTCCTCATGTTGCCATTACCTGCTTGTAGTCTTATTGACGTTACTTATTTATGTTTGCTTTTGGGTGTTGTGTTTAGTGTTGCT